TTACCCACGAGGAGGAGGAGGCTTGTCACAGCTCGTTCTCGCTGACCGGTGCAGCTATAACCCCCAGTCAAGTTTTCCCGGCGCTGCGTTTGCCTTTCCCGTATCGCTATTATGGATCACAGACTTGACGTGGCCGCGACGCTCAGTTGTAATTAGTGGCACGCTAATCGATATTCCCCGGCTACCATTATGTATATATACTGTGCTAATGGCGCCGCATTAGCGTCACAGCGTGTCAACGGTAGTTGAATATAACGGGCCGTGGAGCGACATTGCATGCGGCGAAGCTAAACGCGGAGAGGCGTATGCCGGTGCGAATTTTTATCCCGTTTTTTTTTTGTACGCGTGTTACATACTTGGTCTAACGGTAAAAAAAGGTAATAATATTGTGTCTGGTAAAGTGAAGTTACTGATTCGATTGGTACACACTATAGACAAAAGTCCTTCGAAATAGTATCCTCCACACCTCTATAGGTGCCAAGTTGGCTGCCGTGAACTCAATCAGAAACGCCGTGGACAGCCTTTTGGATGCCGGGGACACCGTTCGTATTGTGACCATTCATTCATTCTCTTGAGAATGCGGATCAGGGAAAAGTCTGCCCGGCTCGTATAAGGGGGGGGGGGGGGGAGGGGCTGTTTTCTGAAACTGACTTTAATGGAGCCTTCGCAGCGTTCGATTCACGTTGATAGCGTGGTATCGACGCTCAGGCTAACTATGTTGGAGAACTTTGATTATGTGTGCCGATCGGATCGATAATCTTTTACCGGGTCCAGTCTGATTATTTTACAGGCAGAGCTTGTATACAGTTCAGAAAAAATGCCGCATTCGCGATGTCACACGGAGATGATGATCTCTTGAAGAATTTATTTCGTGACACCGTTTGTTGACCGTCTTCGCCGCAACTACGTAAAGACGGACCAAATAGAACACGAAGCGAGGAAGGCAAAAGTTTAAAAAATACTTTAGAAAAAAAAACAACAACAACACATACCTGTAACATTGTTGTCGCATTCAGCATGACATACACACACACAAAAAAAACTGTAGGAAATATGGCGGACCATTGTGATCATCCTGTCACTCATAACCCTTCGTCCACTTTCCGGTATTCCGCAGAACTCATTCGTAATGTTCTGTCTTCACGACTCAAGGTGTTAACTAATTCAGCATCGCGCTGCTATAGTTGCTATAGAAATCCGCTTAATAGTCGCGGGTTCGATCACTGGACTGGGACGAATTTTTTTCTGGCTGAAAGGCTTTCCATTGTGAGAATTATACTTGGATTTGTGTGTGTGTGTGTGTGTGTGTGTCTGTGTCTTCTTGCTACAAAAAGGTGTTCGTAAATTATCTCCACTTTTTATGAGATACCTGTGTGACACTAGCAAGCTTCATGTTATATAACAGCTTTTCACGCATTCTTAGCTTTTTTTTCTTTGATACTGAACTGTAAAAGAAGTATCGATGAAGAATTGTAATCTTTTATTGTCCAAAAAAAAAAAAAAACCGCGCTAACGCAGGTGCGGCCTGGCAACTGAGGTATAGGGTGTGGTTTTTATGTTGCAGCGTATGCCGAAGGGGAAGTATACGATGCCAAGTTTTCATTGGCAGCCTCTTTCGAAATGTGCGGAGACGTCGATGCCACCGAGCACCCCCCCCCCCCCCCATTTTGTTTTTCGGATCAGGTTTTATTTCATCTGTTGCAGTGAAGCCTGAACCTCGGGAGTGTCACGCAACGCGTTGCACAGATTAATGACCAGTGGTCAGTTTTAGAGCGGTGGAACTGGCATCCAAGCACGGGAAACGTAGCCAAAAACGTTATATAGAGGTTTAAAGTGGGGGTGGGGGGGTGGGGGTAGCTGAGAAGTGCGCAATCATAAAATGGCATCAACTTGCGCAGGACAGGGTCAGTCTGACGTCAGCAGTGGATGTAAAGAGGGGCGGGTGGTGATGACACTTGACTGTACGTTTCTTTTTCAATTTTGCCGGCAAGTGTATATTTATGGGCTAGTTTTCTTTGTTAAGCACAATATTAATGACAACTTAATGCCAGGGAAAGTATAGGGGAATTATTAGAAGTAATTATAAATGCGAAGAAAAGCGGACAAAAAGATAGCTTGCCACTGGCGAAATCCGGACTTGCGAAGGCTTCGAATAAGGACGTTCGATGTTCTGCCACTGAGATACGGTAGCAGTTATCCCCCCATCCATTTTATAGGGTGTATATGTGGATTAAACGGGGAGTGGGGGTGGGGGTGGAGCGTCAGTCAGCGCCACCTGTTGCCATTGCAGCGAGTGTAGAACGCTTTCTTGCCTGCTTGGTGTCACGTAGTTCGTCATCTTAGTACGATATGGCGGCTGGCCAATTATCCCTCTCATACTACCTCAAGGCACTCTTTCATTTACTCATTCGAACCTCTCTTTCTAAGTTCTAGTGTTACCTAGTATCATAGTACACCTCTATTCGAATGACTTTCGCTTGTATATCCAACACATGAAAAAAATAAAATAAAAATAAATGGCAGGCCTACGTGGAAGGCGTAGCACAGTCACAGCGAAAGCTATAAGAGCGGCCTTTCATAGCCTTTTGAAAACACTCATTGGGTAACTACTGCAAGCGCACTTGCTTGATACCCATTAGGACACTAATAATTTTTTCTGTGTAGTAGGCCGGCATTCGCTATGCTATTTTTCATCATTCTTCTGAGAATCGTGGTATCCGCTAAACACTTGAAGGAATCTTGTGCCGATTGTTCATGCAGTGGCTGACGACGATGAGGAAGTATGCCTGAAGTGGGCATGCGCCACAGTTAATAGGGAAACAAGAACAAGCTTTTGTAATGGGTCGGAGCATTGGACGACCCACTCGTTACACTATTCCCGTTGCGCGACGACTGGTTGTTCTTTCGCTGTTTCAAAGCTTTATGAGTCATATTGACGCGATTGCTTTCCCGACATCAAGCCTGCCTTGCCTAAGGCAAGTTTGCCAGCAGGGCAAAAGCACCGGCACAGCTCAGTGATAGAATACTGGGCTGGCACCCAGTGGACCCGAATTCGAGACCTACTGTGCCATCGGTGCAAGGTTTTCCTTTTTTTTTTTCCAATTTCGCGCGATGTGGTACGGACACCGGCGGCAGTGCGTGACCCGAGTTGTGCTCGCATAACAGCTTTCGCTGTTAAAAAAAAAGGAAAATAAGCACGCTACAGTGAAAGTATGTGGGCACGTAGCTGGACCTCGGGTTTTTGCTTGGAAGGTAATAACTTGGTCGAAGTTTAGCTCTGTACCTTATACTGGTTTCATACGGGCACTTTTCATCATGATCAGGGTTTCATCATGTCAATGGGGGAACAGGATCCATCCGGGATCTGTCTCTTGGATCACGACTTGATTGGCGTATGCGCCTAACTCGGTCCGGATTATCTTGGAATGGTTTAGCGAAGACCTTATGTTCAGCGCAATCATGAAATCCGACCCGGAACAGCAGTGATCGCGGTCCGAAAAACCCGTGTGACACCGGCATTTGCTGTTTTTCTTTCATTTTTTTAGGGGCGAAGCTCCTTAAGGCGTGGGCTGTGCGTCCCCTGTATGTAGACACCTCTCGTTTAGTTCTTGCAGTGTCCACTAGATGGCGGTACCGTCTCCTGTATGTCGCCCCCTCTCGTTTAGTTCTTGCAGTGTTCACTAGATGGCGGCACCGTCTCCTGCATGTAGCCACCTATCGTTTAGTTCTTTCAGCGCTCTGTAGCTTATGTTGAAAAGATGCAAGATGTTATAAACTAGACGGCGGTACTTGTAGTTGATGATGAAAGATGCGAGATGTTATAAAATAGGAAAGATGTCACATATGGCACGTGTCATTGGTGGAAGGCAATCGTTCGATTTAGTGCGGCGACGTACGCTAGGGGGAGCATTGTAACAAAATCGAGTAGGCAAAATGTACGGAAGATTCATGGTTTATCAGGTTTTCCTCCAGAGCTTCGCCCACTCATCATCATTCACTTCGTGGATATGGCGGCACTTTTTTGCTTTATCGTCTGACGTCTTTTTGTTTGCGTAAATAAATAGGTGTTCGAAGTATGCGAACCACACCAGCTATAGTTCGTATTTTGAATATATTATTGCCTCTTGCTTCTGTCAACCGCTTACCATGCTGATGCTTAATCCCGCTCGCTTTGAATCCGAGAGAGGTTGTGAGAGATGCTCGTTCTTTTCCTGGTCTTGCCGGTTGAATGTAATGACATTCCGTCAGAATGTGTCGAGTTGTCTCCGTACCATTTGTTGCAGTAGACGGGTGCGTCTTTGTACTGCGCATATTTGGGCTGGGATGTGCATGTATGCGTATACCCTGCTTTCGCTGGCCTGGAGAAACCAGGCTAGTTGTTCTCGACGGTCTGTAATTCCTCCATATTATTAAATTTTCCCAATGGCGGCATTTTAAACCAGTTCGAGAGGTCTCTTTTGGCCAATCATAGTTCACTAGATGGCGGAAAACGGCAGTGTCCAGAAAAGCTAGTCATTTGTGGCTTTAGTGGGTGCTTACGGGTCGTCTGCAGGATTAGTTCTTACAGCGGAGTGTCTTGGTCGGCCCTGTGCTGTCGTCATAGTAGTAGTAGTAGTAGTAGTAGTAGTAGTAGTAGTAGTAGTAGTCACATACGCCAAGTCAGATAATCACAAGTAGGCATCACACGGGCCACGCCAGTGAAAGGGGGTACGACTAATAAAATTGACGAACTGATGATGGTAACGGTAATACTAAGTGATAGTGATGATGATGGGGGCGTTGCTGTTCGAAACGATGATGTCGATGCTGATTATCATAAGGATGACTCTCGAATTGTGGGAGCGGGCGTATTTCAAATCTAGCGGTGGATTTGCGACACCACGTGATCACGCGAGCCAATCACACTCGCGCGCTTCGCTGTTGGCTGTGTTCACAACGCTGAGCGGGAAAAACAGTTGTTTCTTTTGTTTTTCTCATCGCCTCTTCCTCTTGTCTCGCAGGTGGCCTCCGACTCGTCCCTGACGACGGTGCCTTCCCGGGCCAGCTCCGGTGAGTGTGTGCTTCTAAGCTGCCAGCTTGGTTAGTAAGCTAAGAGATAACTTGGGAAATGGATGTGTCGATCGAGTGGTGCGGATGGGGCGGAGGCCTGTCGTGGGCCACTCCAGTTTCATCGGACGACCATCCTATGTATGGTGGCGTGGTTGGGGCATACAATCCACTACAATCATGCGAGCCTCCCTATATAGCGCTCCGCCAGCCAGATGAGGTCGTATTCGTGCTTTGGCTGTTTGGTTTGGAAATATAAACACTGCTTATGCACGCATTAGAGACCGGTGCATGCCATGTAGTTTTCGGTATGGTATACCCCTTGTTCGCTTTCGATTCTGTGCGACGCTCAAGCATTCTGGGCTATAAGATCCCCTTACTGGACAAAGAGTGTCGCCCACTGTACACGCGACCAAGAGCGAATAGTTTTGGAATGACCGCCAACTATCGGACAAAGAGAAAACAAGAACGACGCGTGCACTATAGATGTACCCGTTATGTGTAATATCTCCAATCCTGCTTGTGCCATTTTTTTTTTTTGTCTTCTTACGTGTAGTGGAGCCCTCGTCGCGTCTCATCTCGCACGGCCGTTTTCGTGTCGCCTTGCCGCCGTTCTCGGCCTCCAACAGTATTGTCACGTGTTCCTCTAGATAGAAGGAGGACTCCTCCGCGTCTTTGTCGCAGTGGCATTTTTTTTTAGCCTATACCGGTGCCTTTCTTTTCCCCGGCATTCCGAGGTCGGCCGCGCGCCGTCTATTTAGAGCTCGGTGGGCGCTCGTGTCTTGAGGCGTGTTTGTGCGTTTACGAATGGGCTTTTTTTTTTTTGCCGTATAGTCTTAGTCGTGGTAGTCGTCTTCACTGTCTGGGGAAGACCCGTCGTCTCTCTTGAACCGCCGGCATTCGCGTGCGCGGTCTCGCCCCATCCCTTCCTTCCTATAATATAGTATATACACCGCTAACCGCCCATCTTTCTCCTCATCTGTATAGTTAGTACACCGTGAACCGCGCTATGTAGACGCGCTCGACTTTGACTGGTGCGCCAAGATAGCTATAGGTATACACCTAGCCGTGCGCGTCGGCATATTCCTTCCTTCCTCTGCCGCTTCCGTATCGGGGTCAGCCCTCCGCCATGGCTGCTGCCTCTTGCGGCGTTTCCTCGAAGCATTCCTTCCTTGCCTGGTTCTTCTCCGTTTGGAAGAAAACAAAAAGCGGAAGTTCTACTTGCTTTCCTTTTTTCTGCCATAAATATTTCGGGCGCGTCTAGTTCCTCCGCTGGCAGTTTTAAGGACGATAGCATTTCTTGGGATGCTCGAACGCAGAAATTGTGGTCTGTCTGTCTGTCTGTCTGTCTGTCTGTCTGTCTGTCTGTCTGTCTGTCTGTCTGTCTGTCTGTCTGTCTGTCTGTCTGTCTGTCTGTCTGTCTGTCTGTCTGTCTGTCTGTCTGTCTGTCTGTCACGCGAAACGATTCAGCCACCCGGCCAAAGTTTAAGCACTTGCTGAACGCCCAGCCATCTTGAACTGGGGGCTGCACACATACTTGTGAACATTGTAGATAAAAAAGCAAATATTACGCATATCCTAGGCGCAGCATCGATACCTAAGTATTAGGCGGTGTGTTATTTTACTAGAAGAAACGTAGATACGTAATTCTAAAGTCCCTCTAGAGTTTCTCACGCTGCGGAGAAAATGCGACGCGATGCACGCAGAAGCGTTCTGCCGAATGTATGGTGCTGCCACCTGGCTGTGGCCCCGGGTTCGGCACAAGCTCGTGTTTCCCGACGGCGCTGCCAGATGGAGTCCATATCTCACGCAGTGCCTTCTCTGTTGTGTCAATGCCATCCAGATGTGGCGTATTCAGCATCGAGGAGGCGCTGTCTGAGGCGTAACGGGTGGCCGCGGTGGTCTAGTGGCTAAGGTACTCGGCTGCTGACCCGCAGGTCGCGGGTTCAAATCCCGGCTGCGGCGGCTGCATTTTCGATGGAGGCGGAAATGGTGTAGGCCCGTGTGCTCAGATTTGGGTGCACGTTAAAGAACCCCAGGTGGTCAAAATTTCCGGAGCCCTCCACTACGGCGTCTCTCATAATCATGTGGTGGTTTTGGGACGTTAAACCCCACATATCAATCAATGAGGCATAACGGGTGGCCGCGGATGACACCAGCACCCATGTAGTTACGGCCGGCAGAAAAACGGTCGTCTTTAGACGACATTTGCCGAGAAGCACGCGGATACGCGGCCAATTTTTCGCCATTGTTTATTTGTTTTGTTTTAGGAATCTCTGATGAAGAGTCAACAAGCTTTAAAAGAAATCAATGCCGATAAAGCGCCAAAGGCTAAAGATATATTTATACGCACCATCGTCTCTTAATTGCACGTTAAAGGACCCCTGGTGGTCGATATTTCCGGAGCCCTCCACTACGGCGTCTCTAATAATCATAAGGTGGTTTTGGGACGTTAAACCCCACATATCAAAGTTGGGTCAAACAAACAAAGAGTTAGGATGGGAATTACTCTCGTCGCGGGGTCGAAAGAAACTGGCTAAAGCTCTTGTACCAAATATTTTGTGGTAAAACCAGCATTTGAAAAGAAAATTACCTTCACAGTCCTCATTACATTTCTTCGCGAAATGATCATTGTTTCCATCGGATCTAATTTGTATGCTATCTCGGTTTTTTGTTCGTTCAATTAGGGAATGGAATCGTTTATCTAATGAACGAGTGTGCTATATAAATGAAGATGTGTTTTTCTTAACATTGTGACCCCCCCCCCCTCTTGCTGCAGCGCCTTCGGGCTAAGCGGGGTAATCATTGAATAAAGAATAAATAAAGAAAAAAAAAGCGGGCCCTGAAGATTCCCTTTCTTAATAATCGCATTTAGGTGTCGACAAGTGAAAGCCCATTAACTATTATCATCGTCGCCCTTTCCTTATCGCTTCTTCTGTCTTTACGTCCCTCATATCACTAAATCCTTTCGATCGCGGAAGAAGGTCGCCAGGGTGTCAATGCGGAAAACGACGTGAAAGAGGCCCGATATTTCTCTCTCTCTTTGAAAAGCAGGATCTCCTTAAATATGATGGGGCGGTGACGCGGCTTCACCTATGGCGCCATGAAAGAGGGCGCAGACATATGTGGCTCCTCGAAGCAGCCAACCTTGACTAACGTGACGTCATTCGGTGCATATCCGTTTTAAAACTGGCGATACTTCTTTCACGAGACGCTCGCGACACGGTTGCGACACTCCTTACGCCGCCGGTCGCACCCTGCATTCGGACACGCTAGAGCGACGTCGCGTTTTTTTTTTTTAAATTTAAAAATCGTTTTAAAAACCATTTCTTCCTATAATAAATGTGCGCGACGTACGTTTCTCTCGAGATGCTACATGCTACTCCGAGGTGTTTTACGGCCTGGTCGAGAGTTGAGCTCGGTTAGGTTACGTTAGGTTAGATACAGTCAAGTTTCTTCGCAGAATTATGGATGACATTTTCATTTTGCTATATCCAGTATTAGTTGTGGCAGTAATAACCCTACGGAAACGTTCCGTATGCGAGTCCAATAATTCCATATGTTTCCATAAAGAATACATATGTTTCCCATATATTTTCCATATATTTCATAATTCCGTATGTTTCCGTAAGATTGTTACGGAAACATACGGAATTATTGGACGTCGCATACGGAACGTTTCAGTAGGGATTATAATGATTGTCGGGGGTTTTACGGCCCGAATTCGCGGTATGGTCATGAGAGACAACCGTAATCGGTGGCTCCTGTGATTCCGACCTACAGTTTCGACGGTTCCGATCGTTTTGACGTGCACCTTATAATTGAAGTGCACGGGCCTCAAGCATTCGTGTTTAAATCGAAAAAAAAAAAAGCGGCAGCCGCAACTGGAATACGATCCCTCGACCCTTGGGTCAGCAGCGTGAACCCACAATCGTATACTTATTTCTTGAGCGGAAAGCTTTTTTTTTTTAAAGCTATCGAAAAATTCGTCCCGGTTCGGCAATCGAACCCGGGACCAACGTCTTCCCTAGTGGGTTTTTCCGCCGATCGAGTTATCCAAGAAGCTATTACTTGCCTTGTACTGTTATTAGTTGCTCTGTAGTTGCTTTGTGTTGTGGCAGAAGTGTCACCCACTAGCATTCTTCCTATGCACCCACCTTACTCTGTTCTCCATAATATAGCCCGTAAGGTATTTTAAATAAATATATAAATAAATAGCAATTGGCAGTGCGAGGGCGAATCGATTGACAACCAAGAACGCACGGAGACAATACTATTGCAAGTCGGCTATGCGGGTTTTCGCAAGGTGGTGAAACGTTTCATAAAAGGGAAATTCACCGCCACTTCTTCATGCTACAAACGGGCACTTGTCGACTTCCCTTTGCTAAACCGCAGAACCGTTTTGAGTATGATTCATTACAATATTTCGAGCCATCTTTTTTCTCAGATTATTTATTGTGTTTGCGAATTTTCGGGCTCAGGGCGTGCTCTTTCTCCGCTTAAACGACCGTCTACGCGGTCGTGTTGTGTTGCTGCTCGCGCGTTTCGGGCCGTCGTACTCGGCCGGCTTCTTCTCCTTGCAGTCATCTGCCTTCCGCGTTTTGCCGACGAGATTAGAAACGTCGGAGCCGGTGGCCATTTGCATGTGCACGGCGGCCGGCCGGCTGGTCCCAAAGCCCTACACCCCCCTTTCCCCTTTTCTCCTTCACCCGTGGACCGGACCGGCCGTTGGCGATACTTTTGTCCAAATCGTGCCTCTTTGCCTCCCCCCCCTCTCTTTCACTTTGGCTTGCCCGCATACGTGTATAAGTACGTACTACTATACCTCTATACATTTGTACTTATATGGGTCGCTTGTTTGTTTGCTAGCGCATATTCCGAGCGTCCGCACCACCGCCCGATATAGAGGGGCCCTCTTCCAGCACCCCCTCCCCCCACCCCCTCCCCTGAACCCCTTTGAGCCAGTTATGAGGAAAGCAGGAGTTTTGTTGAATAACGGTCAC